TGTATAAAGTTCTTTGAGTGCTCAGGTAGGGTAAAAGAACCAATCTATTTACCATATATCAAATGTAAATATAAAAGACAGCTCGAGACATGGAAAATCTGTTAGGAGAGATCAAATCTGAGGGACATAAAAGAGAAAAGAAGAAAGTACAAGTAGGTTTAGTATTTCCATGCCTAATTAAGTGTATTCTAAGTGCTTGTCTTGTCCCCTCAGCTGGCAGCTGTCTCACCTCATTGTCTGTCAGTGACACTGACGGGACGTCTACGTATGAACAACCTTAGTCTGACGTTACTGCAAGTCTGATCCTTAGTTTGTATTATTGATCAAGTTGTGTCTGTGGCCAATTTAGGATCAACTTGGATTACAGCTGGCCTCTGTTCAATCATACCGTAAGGATATTTAAAGCGGCACCAGTAACTATGTGATGCAGATTTGATCCCTGTTACGTTTACTTGACCTTTAACTTTTTGCTCAGTTTTCATTTTTCGCCCTAAATCTTCGTTAGTTTTCTTTTCTTGTCTCACAGCTCTGTTTGTCACCACAAGCCTTCCACCAAACTGCACCAAACATACAAAATAAGCAAAGTTATCAGCTTTTGAAATGAGAAGAACAAATATTGCATTTCATAATAACCTGATGAAGTCATTTTGTGGAGGTCATGCACTCATGTTAACTGACATTAGGTCATGTTGGGGAATAGAAAGATTTTGGTCTATTATAATCCTGAAAATGTGTCTTATATTCAACATTTAAGCCAAACCATTATTACTTACCAAAAGAAACAAGTGGGATGTCAATTCTAACCATAGAAATTATCATGATCATGATTAACCCCCTAACCCTAACCCTAAATCTCAAATTTCCTCTCCCCATCCTTGCCCTTTAACCTAATCTAAAAAGCCTTCTTTCCTATAATCCCCATCTTCCACCATTCCACCCTCCGATATTCCCGTTTTAAAAGCTCTCAGCATCCCCTTTCCTCCCACAGCTTGTCCCGATCTGCCAGTCACGCTACCCTTGCTGACCCCACTCAGCCCTCCGAGCATGCACGTCCTCAACCCCAGCCCTCCGCTTTGCCACTGCTGTCGCTCCTCCCTTCTTCACCCTCCTGCTCCAAACCCATTAATGCCACAAAGTCCATTTCTTATTTCTCATTCATGCAGTGTCCACTGTAGGCAGTCTGCTAGGCCATGCTGTGGTCTGTTCCAGCCAAGAGCAACTAATTAAAGTCCTTTCACTGCTCAAATCACAGTTATCTGATTAAAGCCCTTTGCTGCTAATTAAACTGCCATTTCTCTCTGCCATGCTTTTCCCACAGACTCTCCCTCCCTCCCTCTCTTTCTCGGTTCTCTCACAAAACATACAAATCTACAAAATCTTGTGCTCAAATATTGGTCATGTTATACTTCATGTTTTATCGCCTCTTCCTGTCTCGTCCTCTGAATGACCAGCAGTGTCATTTTCAGTTAAACAGCTGCAGCCCGAGGGGTTAAAGTGAGCCACGCAAAGCTTACTCATTATCTGACTCACTCATCTTTGTCCTGAGATGAAATCCAAATAGTTTCCTGTGTCTCTTTTAGCTGTCACTGATGATCATAGCTGCGAGTGATATTTAATCAGTTTGAAATGTGGGAGGAACTTTTTAAATTAATACTCTAATACATTTTACAGTCCTTCTCATTGGCCTTGAGGCAACTATAACTATAACAAATCAGCCATCTCAGCCTTCTGTTATTCTGCTGCTTATCAAAGTAAAGATATTTCACATGTATCTGTGTGGCAAGTATATGATGTAGATTAGGTTTTGTTCAGCTGTTTTGGTTGTTTTTGCTTTTGTTGCCTTGAAACATCTTTTTTTTAAATCACCTGAGTGCTTTTACTGTTTCTGGGAAAGACACTTAACACTGCAGTATCTCTTGTAGCCACTAGTGAGCAGCAGTAGGCACTCAGATCTGTCAGCCGGCAGCAGACTCGAGGAGATATTTATTTCTCTGGCCGGGACATTACAGAGCAACCCCTGAGCCAAGATGAAAGCCCTCTAAAGTGTTTAGACCACATCTCTGTGTCCGTCCCTCATCCCTGAGGCTCAGCAGCTCAGAGGAGAGGATCGATGGCTCCCCTGACTTAACTGCACGGCAGCTACACGTTCTGTAATGCAGTAATGTAGTTCATAAATATCGACCACAGAGCAGAAATGGCAGGTATAAATCCTGAAGGAATGCCTTGTGGAGGATAATGGGGGAGATGGAGGGCAACGACCAACTACAGGAAACAGATCAAACTGCTGACACTCACCCTGCCACTCACACACACATAGTCCTACCAACAAGATTTCAACACAATATGTGTGTGTGTGTAGTGAAGAATTAATGTTTCTTGATCTCTGACCACTACAGCATGAAACACTTTCTAATGTCACCTCCTCTGTCCGTCTGACAGACTGCAAAAGTCCAGTGTTTCTCATTTATGACCGACCTCTCTGATGTCTGTCATCCTCCTTCATACCCTTCCCCCTCTCTTCTCTGCCTCCAGCCGTCCAGTTTGATCTCTTTGGTCACACTTCACGATCACACCTGGAAACCTTAACAACAGGATTTCTGAAGGAAAGACCTGTATGCAGTGGTGCCATCTCTGTAGAGGTGTACCTCTGAAGGGACACAGACACACACATGCACATGCACACCTTTATCGTATCAAAGACGGGCAGGTTGCTGACAGCGTGGTATAAATGACTGAGGGTCTTGTGGCTATAATACATGTGCTGCTGAAATCTGCGGAAAAACCTACTTTCTTTTTTGCTTGTCTGCAGTCAGTAAAGTTGCCAGCCTATACAATTTAGCCACAGCAGAAGAATTGCCAGGTGAGGCATTAACCTTGGTTCGATTTAAGATAAGCTTGAAATTGATTTCACTTGGATGGCTCTTTGCTTTAATCTTTCCTAAGCTTAAGCTTTGTCTCAGATTTGTTTTCTTATTGTGCTCCTTGTGCTGCAGAGGAAAGGATCAGTAAATCCAGAATGTGGGTAATTGGATGTAAATATGGTATAACAAAGGCAAACACAAGAGCATGAAAAGATGACAAACACTGCAAGGCCATATGTTCAACAGCAATAATCAAACTAAAACCAAAATGTAATGTGACTGTCTGACTCTGCAGCTCTCCAAACCACGAACAGCACCTCTCCATCCCTCTCCAAAATCACGTGGCTCCACTCTCATTAGAAACTGATGCAGATGTCAAGTATCTAATTTATGTGTCAGTGGAGGGAAGATGGGGTACAAAAAGGAGCTGTAATTGCTGAACCCAGTCCCAATTCAGTGGCTGTCACTACATCTCTGGGCTTATGTCAAAGTCATGTGTGTGTGTCGTGTACATGCTTTGTGTGGACACTTTTAGTTCTAAGGTATCACCATGTATTTTTCTAGGGTTTTGTCTGGTCCTTCAAAGAGGTGTGTGATGTGACAACCTGGTTTTGGAGCTGAAGATTCAGTCAGTAAGTTTTAAGTTCAAATGTTTAAACAGTCAGAATTTGAGGACTCGACTGTCTTAGTTTATTTGAAAAGAACCAGTTAAAGTGTTTGGGGGATCTGACCAGGATGCCTCCTGGGTGAGGTGCTTCAGGCATGTCCTACACTGGCGAGGCCCCAGGCCTGACACAGGACATGCTGGAGGGATTTCATTTCTCAGCTTGCTTGGTAATGACTCTGCATCTCCCTGGAAAAGGAGGAAGAGGAGCTGGCTGTCTGGGCATCTCTGCTTATACTGATCTCCCCACGACCTGAACACAGAACAGCGGCAGAAAATGGACTGATGTGTGTGTGGTTGAGCTGGGTTTATTTGCTAGGTCAAAAGAGATTTAGGGAAATAGCACTTGGGGGTAACTTGTCAGGAAATACAACCCTAACTCCCCAAAAAGTTGGCATGTAAATAAAAACACAATAAAACATTAAAAACCCAACACTGAAAATGTTCAAAATGAAAATGTTTAAAATAAAAATGTTCAAAATGAAAATGTTTAAAATGAAAAAAAGTCCTTCTTTTTTAATCCTCAGTGAACATCTGGGATCTCAGGAGACCAGCTGTTGGAATTTTGGAAGAGGAATATTGTCCCATTCTTGTCTGATAAAAGATTCTAGCTGCACAGTCCTGGGTGCTCTTTGTTGTGGTTTCATTTCATGATATACCTAATGATTTTAGTTGGTGAAAGATCTAGACTGCAGGCAGGCCAGTTCAGGACCTGAACTCTTTTAATATCAAACAATGATGTTACGTAATAAATGTGGTATGTGTGTGTGTGTGTGGCTGATATAACATTTGCAGGAAAATTACAGTGGCCCGCTCAGTAGTACGTTTGCTGTACACACCAGTTTGTTTGTATTTCTGGTTTGGAAGAACAAATAAAAAAATGTTAATAATAAATATGTTGGAGGTTCTGTTTTCCAAGCTCCAATTGTTACTGGAAATTATATAATAATAGAATAGCAGTAAATAATGACCAAACTTTGACTCTGATTGCGTGAAATGTGATTATCTGTAACATGTACCCAAATATTTGCCTCTATCAGATACTTTAAAATCCAGATAAGTAGCTGCTTTGTGATAAAGCATCATAATACAGACTTTCCAGATTTGTGACTGTGTATATGTCTGTATTCATTCACAAGCTGTGTCTCTTCAGCAGTCATACAGCCTCGCTGCCATCTTAAGCTAACAGAAGGTGAAGTTGCAAAGCCTGAGGATATGAGACTGTCTAATGAATCTGCAGTCAGCTGACTAATTCTTAGCACTGACCCAGGACACATAGATCGCACACACTCCAGAAACTCCTGCTCAAAATTCGTTGTTTTTTTTTTTGTACTTTCAGGTGAAATGATCTCCGACTATATAAGCAAAAAATCAAGAAGGAAGACAGAAAAATGAGAATAAAAATGTCCCAGATAGAGATAAACGCAGAAACTAAGGCATGTGAAAAAAAAAACACAGGCTAGAGTGAATAGTGTAGATGGGATTCATGAGGCCTGCTTGTTGCTTTCATTACCCTTTATTGATTCATTTAGCAAGACATCAGGTCCCAACACAGCCCCTTACTGTTAGACAAAACTCAGCATGTCACGTAACATGACTGTCTACTGGGAAGAAACATAGAAAGCATGTTTTCATTCAACCATCCACCAACAAATGAAAAATGAAACAAATCAATCAAGCTGGATTAGATCAGTAAACCCTTTTTTTCCCAAGCGGACATTGGCAGCAGTGACCGACGAGTGCATTAGGAAGGTGAAACGTTATATAATACCTCTCAGAAATAACAGGATATGATTTCAAGTAATTCATCTGAGAACAGACTGTAAAGTATACAATATGATGGCAGATAATGAAAGTGAAGCGACAGGCTGTTTGGTCATTTCATCCACGTCAGTGTGTATAAAATACTGTACAATATTATTGCTGCTGGTTTTTTGGTGATGGATGCTGATGAGCACTGCTTTTGACCGGCATGCTGTACTTTTAAAATCAGCACGGCAACAAGCAACAGCTTCAAAGTCATTGGTTTGGAGAATTTTTAGCACTATTTACCCGCCTTTATTTCAAACAAAGATGCTCATAGATTTGATCAGCTTACCAAGTCAGCCTATCTGCACAGTGAGCTGTGTGAGCGTAAACAAAAGGCTGGTCGCCTCCCTCATACACACCTATCATTGTTATTTAAGCAGTCCAGCTGTCAGCTGTTTTGTGTCGGCTGTATATTGGTATTGGCAAAAGGACACAAGGGGAGTGAGCATCTTCTGGGTGTCTTCACAAAGCAGATTCATCTTTTGCTCTTGAGGCGTGCATGAGTGATGTAAAGTCCACATCTGGAAAATCAGCCGGTTTGTAAGATTTTGTTTCTCTTTGGGCTCTGTCACTCTTCAAGTTAACAAAATCAGCATCTGTACTGGTTTGTGCGCATGCTAGTCCCAGTTATGTCCTGACACAGCCACTAGAATTATTGATTTGGATGCAGCGACACAGATAAGAAATAAATGGGGTGGAATATAAGTCCTGAGTTGTTGTTTGTGTAACCTTTACGAACAATGATAAGGGTACCTTCAGTCTCGTTTCCAGTAAAGATGTGAGTTTTCAAATATGCTACATTTCAGTCCTATAAGAAAGATATTGACCCCTAAGTGATCAGATCAGGCTTAATATTTTATATTTAAACAGCATTTTGGTTAATTGTAACTTGGCTCTTGTTCTTTTCTAGTTTTCTTGTGAGAATGATACAAGAAAGGTATTAAGTGTAAAATCTTAACATAAATAGAACAAAATATCATTTAAAATCTTTGTTTAACTAAAAATACTACAAAGTAGAAGCTAAAAATATGTGTTAAAAAGATTTATTTTTAACGTGATACTAATAGCATATTTCAGAGTTGTTTATTTTCTATTTTCTTTTATATTCTATCTAATATGCATTACTATAAAAAAGTACCCCGCCCCTTCCTGGTTTCTTAGTTTTCTGCATTCTGTAAAATGTTTCAGAACATAAAACAAATTTTAATATTAGACAAAGATAACTCAAGTTATTCAGTGATGATTTCATTTATTAAGGGGAAAAAGTCTATCCAAACCCACGTGGCCTTGTGTGAAAAAAGTAATTTCCCCCTAAACCTAAGAACTGGTTGTGCCACCCTTGGTAGCAAGAACTGCAATCAAGTATTTGCAGTAATTTGCATCGAGTCTTTGACATCGCTGTGGTAGAATTTTGCTCCACTCTTCTTTGCAGAGTTGTTTTAATTCACCCATGTTTGGGGGGGGGGGGTTGGTCATGAACAGTCTTTTAAGGTCATGCCAAGGCATCTCAACAGGTTTGAAGTCTGAAGTCTACACTCCAAAATCTTCATTTTTGTTTTTTAAGCCATTCACAGGTTGACTTGATGGTGTATTTTTTATCATGCTGTATAACCTGAGTGCGCTGGAGCAAAACTGATGGCCAGAAATTCTCTTTCAGGATTTTCTGGTAGGCCTAAGTCTTCATCTAGCAAGTTGTTCAGGTCCTTAGGCAGCAAAGCAGCCCCCGACCATCACACCACCACCTGCTTTGACTGCAGACATGATGTAAGTTTGGATTTTCTATTTATTCAGGTTATTTTTATCTAATATTAAAATCTTTTTAAAGCTCTGAAATATTTAAGTGTGAGAAATATGCAAAAAAAAAAAGAAAAAAGAAAGAAATCAGGAAGGGGAGAAGCAGTTTTCCCAGCACTGTTTTGCAGTGCAGTTCTTTCTTTTTGTTTCATAATGCTCCAAACTGTTGTGGTCCGTCCAGCACTCACATTCTTAAAGCAAAGTGATGCTGCAGGTAAAGGTATAAAGGCTGTTGCCTTGTTGTACTGAATGGTATGCTGCCTGGTGGTTCACGCAGCCATGGCTGTCTGCACGCATTTATTTATAGGGATTAGTGAAAGTGTGGCTGATACAAGAGGCTACACCCAGACTTGTGCTGGCTCTCCGAAATGAGAATGCAACCACATTTTGCATAGCATCCCAACCTTTTAGATAAAGGTATTGAAGTAAATATTGTGACAGATAAAAAACACAAAAAAACACCTTGGGTTATGGTTTTTTCTTAATTTTTTTCTGTTATAAAGCTTGGGGTGGCAGATCATCTGAAATAAAACAATCACAGCCCCTGTGTGAATGGCAGATGAGTTGATTACAGGACTGCGGGGGGTATGTGTAAGATTCAAAGGGCAGAGCAGGGATGGGGAGGAGGAAATGGAAAGGCCAAAATGCGTCCTTTCCCAGTCAGAGTGAGGTGAGAGGCGGACATATGACTTTATGTGTTAAAATCTGCTTCTGGAAATAAAAAGTCACTTCTGAGTCACATCAAGTTTCAGATTTATGATCCATGTCCTCAACAATGGGGGTGTTATAACTCTGAAAAAGAGGTTGCATGAAGAGCCCCATTGTCCCAACTACACACACAAACACAAAGATCCACAGGAAAAGACGGTCGATAACCATCGCCACGTATTTCCAGTCTTCAATGATCTGCAGAGAGATAAAGACGTTGGATATTAACCACTTGTGTTCATGAGTCTGAACTAAAGTGAACTGAGATTCAGGTAACAAGTGATTATGATTAAACCTTACAAAAGAAAGAAGTACTTTCTTTTATATATATATATATAAGCATATAAATCATGATATATATCCGATTACTTCTTCAAAACACCTACCCCTTCATCATCATCCTCACTCTTCATCTTCTCCGCAATATAACGTACTCCATCCACTGCATCCTCCACGTCAATGTTGCTCTTGAGCGTCATCCTCTTCCTGAACTCTGTGTTCTCTGAGCAGTCACTGACCCTCCAGCCATAGCGCTTGGCTGACTCCTCATTGACAAAGAAGGATGAGGAGGAATCAGCCATTCCCACGGAGCTTCCACCTCCAACTTCTGTTCCACACTGCTTCCGGTCAGAGTACTTCTGCTTCTGGTGTTTTTTCCGGAACCGTTCACGGATGTTGGAACTTCCTGGTCTCCGCATGAAGAGGAAAGAGGGGAGCCGGTACAGAAAGACACGCTTGACCCAAGGAGGCATGGTGTGCGTACTGGGTGACCGATGGTGCACATTGAGCACGCAAACGCTAGTGACAATAGAGAAGGTGACCAGCACCATTGTAAACATTAGGTACTTCCCAATCAGAGGCACTGCTAGAGACGTAGGTGGCACAATCTTTGAGATAAGGAGTAAAAACACAGTAAGGGCCAGGAGGACTGAGATACAAAGAGTCATCTTCTCACCACAGTCTGATGGGAGGTAGAAGACAAGAATAGCCAGCGACGTGATCAGGATGCAGGGAATGATCAGGTTGATGGTGTAGAAGAGAGGTTTTCTCTTGATAATAAAATCATAAGTAATATCCAGGTATCTGATATCGTTAGGGTCTTCATTCTTGCGTCCAGGCAGGGAAACAATATCCCACTCGCCACTAGGCTTGAAGTCATCGCGTGAGGCGTAATCACTGAGGAGGATGAGATCGATCTCCGTGTGGTCGTAGGTCCAAGAGCGAAACTTGAGAGTGCAGTTCTGCTGGTCAAAGGGAAAATCACGGACTTCGATTTTACAGGCCGACTTGTAGATCGCTGGTGGGAGCCAGGCCACTTCACCATTATTGGAGACCACAGCGTTGGAGTAGAAGGAGACTTCATATGTCCCATCAGCACTGAGGAAAAGGCAGGAGATGAGATAAAGTCAGTAAAGTCAAGCACTCACAAAAAGATTGCCCATATCACATCATTTAAACCAGTGCTTCTTATATTTGAAGGAGCCAGCTGAGGCGCTTCAAGCATACTCACAAAGATACACCAACTGAAACAAGACAGCACTCAAGGACACTTGAGTGTTTTAATGCAAATCATTTTTGCTTAACTTTACAGGTAACTTGATTTCCTTAGACAGACAAAACTGTGAATAAAAACGAAAATATAATTCCTAAAATAAAGTCTCCGCTGTTTGCCCCTTTTCACCCAGAATAATGTGCTTTCTGTGGACATCTATGATTCGGACACAGAGTTAGGTTGGAAAGCTGACACAGTTTGAGTTGATAGAGCGTGCTCTGCTCTTTCAGTGAAGAAAAATAATCCTCTTGTGAGAGTTTGTACTTCTTAACAAACACACCTAGGTACAGTATGTTCATTTTCTTATTTCCAAAATGCTTTCAGACAGTGATGTGGTTTTGGTGGTATGAGTTGCTGAAGCCACATTCAAACGAAATTACTTAATGAACTTAAATTAAAGTCAACAATAAGCGTTAATTACTGTGTAAATAAAATAATTGCTCCTATAATGATTGATAATCTGGTATCTGATCATTCTTCAATATCCCTGATACCAACTCTGCCTTTTTACAACATTTGGCTGTTTCAGTCTGATAATGGCTATTGTCAGATTTTAATTAGCATTGTGCTTTGTTATACAGCTGCACACTTTTAGCTTCAGTTGATAAGAAACACTGTGCTGTCGGACACTTGTCAATATCCCATCACATTTATTAAAATAGTCTTTTAATAGCCTTTTATTCTCTGAATAAAGTCAAGAAATCCTGTTACAGACTTTTAGCGCAAGACAAACATGGATTTTATGTTAATTCATTCACCAAATGCTGAGTAAAAGATTGCCTGACTGCTACCATGAGGCTGCAGAGGTGACGCATGCAACAGTTTGAAGTCCAAAGGATGCATTTAGCATCTCAAGGGAAGAGCTTGGCCTGGGACACATGCTGGCATCAAGGCAACACCTGTCCCTCACAACTCAAATCTGCTGAGACTGACTTTTTTCTTCATCTCATCAGGGCTGCAGGGGATGCATTATAAATAAGTGGCCTATCAATTATAAAGTGGGTCAGGAATACAACCATCCCACTTGCCTCTAATGCTTTGGGGCTGCTGTGTATATCCAGACTAATAAAAAATGCAGAGGTCCCACCTGCTTACTGTGACCTCAGGTCTCCCAAAGTTAGACCTCAACCTGAAGTTAGATAGATGACCTCTCACTGGTCTCTTAAGCTATTATGCTCTTCAGGTTGTCCTTCAGCTGATGAGCAATCTCCATTCATAAAATCTGAATGCCTGCAAGCATAAGGTCAAAACACAAGAACAGTTCAAACAACTGTAAGACTCTGTCAGACTCAAGCTTAGTGGTTACAGTAGCTGAGAGAACAATCACGCATGTTTTCTGAGGTTTCATTTCAAACTCAAGTTTCCCTTTTTATCCTGCGCACTTTGGGAACTTTTCTCCATGTTGGCCTAAAAGCCGAAGTTCAATCATAAAACACCATGAGCCGATGAAAATCATGACTCAGAGTTCAAGAACAGTTGTTGGAGATTTTGTCATGACACAAGAGGTTGTTTTCATGTAAATTATTACATAAGTTAAGGGGAAACTTGGATAAATCTGGGAAGAGAATAAAAAACAGCTGCTTGTCCTTCATTAGCAACACTGAGATGCCCTAAAACAAGGTTTCCAAACCCTAAATGCTCAGTAGATAACTCAGTACCCTGCAGCTTCAGAGGTGCGTTTTAGGCATTACATTACGAGCACTGACAGGCAACTTGAGTATCACTGACTGTCTTTTCATCACAGCACTTGTTAGTAGGTGGGATAGATTAGCGAGCAACATTTTATCCTCAAAGGTGATGAGGTACAAGGAGGAAAAATGGGCAAGTGTATGGATTTGAGTGAGTTTGATGTAGGTCTTGTGGGTTGTTCCCTGTTTGCTGTGGTCAATATCTATCAAAAGTGGTCTGATATCCATGATGAAGCAGAGACAAGGTAACAGCAGCTGAGGGTCACTGATGCACATGGACAGCTAAGGCTGGCCTGTGTGGTCCAATCCAACAGACGAGGTGCTGTAGCTCAAATAGTCAAAAAAAAAAGTTCATGCTGGTTCTGATAGAAAATTGGCAGAAACACAATTGATTGCTGTTTGTTGCGCATGTATCTTCACAGCCACAGACTAGTCAGGGTGTCCATGCTGAAAGTGACAACAATGGACACGTGAGCATCAGAACTAGACCATGGAGCAATGGAAGAAGGTGGCCTGGTCTTTCGTTTACATCCTGTGGATGGCCGGGTGCATGCAATGCTTTGGGCAATGTTCTGCTGGGAAACGTTGGGTCCTGCCATCCATGCGCATATTTGACACATACCACCTAGCTAAGCATTGTTGTAGACCATGTACACCCTTTCATGGAAATGCTTTTCCCTGATGTCTCTGGCCTCTTTCAGCAGCATAATGTGCCCTGCCTCAAAGCAAAAATGGTTCATAAATGAGCTTGAGGTGTTGACTTGGTCTAAATTGTCTAAGGAGCTTGGAAAGAAAAGCGTCTGGACTTCTTTAAGTTGCTTCAAGCAACTTAAAGACGTCCAGACGCTTTTCTTTCTTAGACTACAATGACCTGGATGACTGAGAACCTTCACAGACTTGGTCTAAATTGTGCAGACGTCAATCCAATCAAGCAACTGGGAAATGTGCTCAACAACAAGGTCATGAATGCTCCAATCACAACTTACTGGACTTAAATATCACAGAGAGCTGGGGAACAGCTGCAATCACAGCATTGTAAGATGGTGAAAGATGTTCCCTTAGGCCTCCTCCTCGATTCAGAGATGGTCTTTCCCTTTTCATGCAAATCTTACTTTCGCCATCTTACAATGCTGTGATTGCGGCCATTCCCCAACTCTCTGTGAATGGTACTTATGGTCTTTGATCGATGGGCTTTAATCAGTGGTTGTTGATCATTGGTCATGAGAATTTGCATATTAACAATCAAGGAACTGACCTACCAGCCGATTGTGCAAATGTACTATTTATAAGGTTGGGGGAAACCTGCAGTCGCCAGAGACAGAAGAAGTCACTTGATTGACTGACAAAACTTTTCTCCCACTGAAAACGCTATGTCCAGATGAACAGAATCAACCTTTTGGGATTTAGTTACCTGGATGACTGAGCATGCATCAAGACACTGCAGAAATGAGTTTATTAAATCCTGTGGCGCGAAAGCGGAGAACGCCTACAAAAAGATTTCTGATGCTGCAAACAAAAAAGAAATTCATCTTTCAAATGAAACATTATAGTCTAATGAATAAAACCATTAACAGGAAACAAAGCAGATTACCACTACTGTGGTTTTTCCTCATCGTAAGCCCACATCAACCGTGGGCTCAGTGTAGTTATTCATACAGCCTAAAGAGGCAGACACAGCTTTCACACTCATATTACCTTTCTGCAACAACTGTTCTTAAATTCAAAAATAAAATTACTTTTACTGTTCAAAGAATTATATTCTCAAATTATTTCTCCTATGGGCAGGTAGAAAAAACAGTACCTATTTATGCATGCTTGTGCAAAACTGCTTGACTTTGCTTGACTGTGTCAAGCAAACAACATATCAGGAATTAACCTAAAGTGCAGGTTTCTGGAATGTGGCCCAGAGAGAAGCTGTACAGGCACAGGGAGCAAACTTAACACAGAAAAGCCAGATGAAAAAACCTCTGATCACCACACAAAACAAAATTCAGCAAAAACTCAAACTGCATTTGGCTATGATGCTTTTGTTCTGTGGTACAACAAAGGAAGGACTTTCCCACTGAATACATTTTAAACGGGGAAAATCAACAGTTAATGTTTTTCAAGAAACTAACAGATGGCGATGAGACCCATCTGCTGACCTATATGGGTGACAGACGACGTGACGTTCACAGGCCTTTGCGTCTGTCAGCCGACTCTCCAGTGAATAAGAGCAGTGCAGCTTATTTCTCCGAGTTCCTCTTTTTTTACAGTGCAGAAGTACTGATGTATTGATTTTTCCCTGCAGCCATTTTCCAGAGTTACAAGATAAATTCCAGATGTGCCAAGATATTCTCACCTCATCATTTTGTATACCTGTGCTCGCAGTACAAAACAATCAATAATGTACAAGGATATCCTGCTCTCCAATGTAACTAAGTTGGAAAGTCTGGATTTCTGTGTTTCTGTCAACACAGTAGTTGCAGAATTGCGCAGGAATAAATCTGAAGCTTTTCTTTCCAATCATAAACGAACTGCAAATGTTTACAGGAAGTCTAAAAAACCTGAAAGGTAAACATTTAGTGTATAGTGTGAAGCAGTCTCTACTGCGTACTGCAAGGTTAGCCTCAAATGGAGCAGTGAATATTGATTAAAAAGTAATATTATTCAAGTGCACCAAAACTGGTGACCTTACGGATTAACACTTAAGAGATAAAAACAAATTGTTTTACTCTGTCTACAACAGGCCTGATTCTGCCATTCTAATTCATAATCTCCTTGTGTGAATGATTCATACGCTCTCTAACATTCAAACAGTCTTCATTATTATCAGACTGTCTGCAGACGCTCCATACAATGCCATTAAAAATTTGTTGGTTCATTATTCACTATTTATTAACCTAAAAGAAGTGACAAGTGGGCTAAAAATGAGATAGGAGGATAGACTGAGTAAGAGGATAGAATTGGAAAGCTTTTAGGGAAATGGGGCTTTTGTAAATATTAAAGTGAAGTTACTCAAGCTTTCTGTCTGTTCCTACTTTCATCACTTAGTTTTACACACACACACATTTATTGCGTCTGTCACAAAGAGGACATACTTGTTGTAAAGGACAATGTCAGGCAACCAGATGTGTTGTGACGGGAGTCGGATTTTCTTGATTCCCTCGTACTCTTCAGGATCCCACATTAATCTGTAGTCATTCCAACCCTGGTGTAGAAAGGCACGTAAGGGCATGCATGAACATACAAGTAAACAATTAAAATCAAGAGCCACATACAGTTATGGTCACAAGTTTACAAATATTTATTATGGGCTTGAATGTTGTGGTAATTTGAGGCTTTTTTGGGTAGTCATCAACAAGCTTCTGGCATAATTCTGGCCACTATTTCTGTCAGAACTGATAGAGTGGATGGAAATTGTTTGGTTTCCTGACACGACTCCACTTTCAAGAGTAGTCCCCAGAGTTTCAGTACCTTAAAGGTAGACTGCTATATCCACTCCAAAACCAGCTGTGACGTGTGTTTGGGATTGTTTTCTTATTAGAACACAGAGTTGTCTCCAAGTTTCAACCATCTAGCTGCTGATTTGAGGCAACGCTGAAGAACTTGGAGATAGTCCTTCTTTATTATTGCATCCAGTTTGTGCAACAATACCACTGGCAGCAAAACTGTCCCAGAGCATAATGCTACCACCACTATACTTGACAGCTGGTATATTGTTCTTAGGTATTAAAGCCTCACCTTTATTCCTCCAAACATAGTTCTTGTCAATGTGGCCAAAAAGCTCAATCTTTGTCTCATCTAACCATAGAATATTTCTCTAGAAGACATTTGGCCTGTCCTTGTGGGCAGCTGCAAATTTCTGTTGAATGTGAAAGTGTTCATTTTGGAGCCGAGGTTTCTTTGTTGATTATAATTTCAGTCCATGGTAACTTCAGTGTGAACAGTGATGCTGGTGTTCCAGCAACTTCCAGTTCATGGCAGGTTCGATCCTTTGTGATTCCTTGCTTGTTCCTAAACATGCTAACTAATTTCCTCTCATAGGGTGACTGTGTGGATTAGAGGAAATCCAAAAAAAATTCATACTTGTGCACCCAATTCTTGTTTTTTCTTAATCATTAAAGATGTATGTGACACTCTAGAAAACAGTTCAGTGAAGCCATTAAAAGCCCAAAATTACCATGGTACTCATGCCCATGATTTCTGACAAAAAGAGACATCTATCATTAACTACATGAATACATACAAATGCATTTAAAGAACATGTCACGGTCTGCAGGGCAGACCATGTGTGAATGAGTGAGGACCCAGGCATGGACACAGGCAAGGAGACAAAACTGAACTTTAAACAAAAGGCGAGCCTTTATTGAGGCTTATAGAAAGGCAAACCAAACAGCAGGGACAGTGGTCAACCTAAACTAAAACCTTAACTGGAGAAACTTTGGCTACGTTCACACTGCAGGTCTTAATGCTTAATGAACGTAGCCGAAAACTATGACTACGACGACTGTGACAACTATGAACAAGACCTGTGCTGGAACGTAAAGGAACTATGAAATATATACTAGAACAAGCAACATGACCATGACCATGACCTGCACAGAGTCTTGAAAAAACACTGGACATGACCTGAGGGAAGAAACACAGCGGGGGGGGGGCAGCAACCATAGAACACAAAAACTGAACAAAAGACTAGAAAAGATAAAAAAATGACAAAATCAAAGTTCAACAATGATACAAAAACTCAAAACACTGGGTCACTGACCCAGGACCATGACAGTACATTTATAATTGTAGTGGTTCATGAACCGATAGACCCTAATGGTCAAATTTTTCAATTGGTCTGATCCTCGGAAACAAACAAACAAAAAATAATGAGCAAGGTGCTTTGACACTAACCTGGGTGAGCCAACAGTTGGTGGTCATGATCTGCTCTCTCTCATTCTGAAACACAGACATGGGAAAATTCTTTAAGCAGTGGCTCCACTGACAACAACCAGGTTAACGTGTTCCCCAGTCATTTGACATTAGTAGGGTATGCCTCTTTGCTCACAGCACGTGAGGTTATGGGTTTGTTTGTGTGTTTTCTTACCACATTGATCAGCTGGGCTAGAGACACCTGGATGTAAATGGTGACCTGCTGGCTGGTGTTGATAGCTGGCCTGATGAGTTTGTTGTAGCGCTCTGGTGACAACAGGTGATTCACCAACCGTTCCTCTACCTCCGCGCACAGGATAGCTGCACACACAAATACGCACACAGGGGGAAAACAGTCAGAAGTACACTACAGAGGATACCACAACTCATTACAACCCATTATAACCTCCTATCAAAGGCATGTTAGAAAGGTGCTAAGCACTGACTAATGACTGTGATATAACAAGCAAGTGTGAGCACAGTCTAATATAACACTGGTTCCACTCTGTAAATGAAAAGCAAACAGTAACTGGACTGGTTCTTATTGAGTATTTTTCTACCTTTAATCTGAACTCTATACAGCATCGTTCCACATTTGTTCTTTCTGTCTAATATTCACTCCAATAAAGCTTTAGGATCAACTTGGGGTTCAGTAACTTGCCCAAAGATACTTTGGCATGCAGACTGGCGCAGCTAGGGATCAAACCCCCAACCTTCCAACTAGCGGATCAGCTCCTCCACCTCCTCAGCCACAGCCACATCAAAAAAAAAACCCCACAGTTGGCTTATTTTAGCCGATCCCTCCTTAAGTTTGTCTCGTTGTGCATCTCTGGACTGTTTCCAGAACTATTGTATACAGTCTTCATCTGTTTTCTTAAAATAAATTAGCTCCAATTTTATAAAGTAAAAGATAAATTGCATTATTAAGAATGAACATATTCCATATTTCTTCCTCATACGTAATAGTAGCTACTCCAGTTTATTCTGTTTCACGGAGCTAAATGTCCTCTGGCTATCATACAGTCAGAAAATGTCAAGAATAAGCCAGACTTATTCGTAATTTCATCATCTCAGTCGAGTGCTTGTTGTGATGATGCAGCCAGATCAAGCTTACAGTAAGCACATCTTTACTACCGTGCAGCTTAAGTTATTGGGTACAGTGAACTGGGGCCTTATGTAGACCTTGAATTTAACACAACCTTGAGCTAAAATTTACAGCAGAATAAGCTGTTGTTTGGTTGACCATCCATTAACTTTACTTTGAGTCTCCTGCAATAAATACCTCCTTGTTTGCAGCCCTGCATTTTGGCTGGGTGACTATAAAATATATGTGTATGCAATGAAAGCATTTTAATGACCGCTAACACACTCACGATTCACATTTTATTTCAGTGGGACTTGAATGAGAAAACACAGATGCCCAAAGCTCTAGCTGGTGAAGCGATGTTTAAATCTCGTGTTGTCAGGTTTCGCCAATTACGTGCTGCAGTAATGCAGCCCGCTGCATGCTCTCATGCGCTCGTGTGTATGTGTCATGAGTGGGAGTGTTACTGTCTCACAAACAGATCACATGTAATTGTATTCAGTCACAATTTAATACACAAAAACATAAACAAGTTTTGCACCTGCTCAAAGCACCTCATGCCCAGGCATTTCATCATATAAACTACTGACTGTATATTCAATTTTAAGAGGAATAAATATTGGTGTTTTTTAAGGAATAAATACTAAATAAAGAAAATATTATGGATGGCTTATCGCATATCTGTTCTGTTTTATGTTTAACTGCAATTTAAGAAGCCATTGTCTTTTGTGCTGCCACACAAACAAGTCTTGTCACATAAATTTCCATTTAAAAGCTTTCTATGCTGTCCTGTTTTTTCCTGAACGTGTTGTTTCCTAGTATGATTTGCCTTGTGTGTTTTTATGTTATTTGAGGTCTGGGGGGCTTTTGTGGCAGCATTTTTTTTTCTGTGTGTGCCTCATAAATAAACTTGACATGACTGTTGACTATGCATATACGGTGTATACAGGAGAATGACGAGCAGGGGAAAAAGAAAAAAAGTGAATTGTATTAATGCTTTGCAAAGCAACATAAACTACCAGCTTCAAAAAACAAGTTACATAGTACATGTTGAATCTTAACCTTTATCCTAAAAGTACAAACAAAACACCAGAGAACCAGAAAAGTAAATAACGGGGTTTGTGTCAGTGTCTTAATGAAGAGTAACGCTGCCAGTCCTCTATTATGCAGTGGTGTCTGTTTAGATGAGTCATCTTTGGCTTTGCCAGACACAAAGCAGGTAAACTGTGATCTGCCTTTGCCTGGCCAAAGCAAGTAACACGGAAGTTGCGAAGAAGCAAGTCAAAATATCATAGCAGCCTCCTATTATTTGCACCTGTGGTTAAAGTTTGAAAATCCTAGGTAATTTTCACCAAAACTGACCTCTGAACCAAGATTTTTATTAGATGTGCCTTGTTCTCTATGACAATACCCCATCAGCCTTTTACTGCTGAGGGGCAAAAACAAATTGCTGTTTGAAACACAGTATATTTAAGCAACTTTAGCACTGAAATCTATTTTCTAACCATATTACCCCATAATGGCATTGTATGTCAACTTAGAAGAACACACCTGTTCAGGCACTTCACTTGTATAGCTTTGCAGCCATGCTCTCAACTGTCTTGTCAAGATATACTCAAGAAACCAATATGTTTTGAAACATGTCAGAATCAGACTGAAAATAAGAGGATCTGAGCTTTAAAGGCAGGTGACAGAAGAAGAGGTATATGCTACACTTGGTCACTTTACATTAACCTTCAGACAGGAGACAGGAGAAGTGTCCGGTGTCTGAGCAACTATGACAAGAAACCCCGAAGGTAAACCTCCTCAGAGACAAAAAGCTGCGTCTGTCAGGATTAGAGGGAGAGGAGACTCGTGCCAGGAGAAGAGGACAATAGAGACACGACAACATACAATGGAAACATCAGAGCGTGAGACAAAACAATTCCCAGATTAGTATAATCATCAGATAAAATTAAATAGGATCATGCTATATTATGGTGATGAGTAATAACAGGGATTTATGAGTTTCATTTTTAAAGGGATTAAAGCCTGACAACAATTCACTGTTTACATGCAATAAACAGCCGTATGAGGCCAACTTCTACTTCTAATTCAAATCAACTGGTTTTCAGATTTTGGTGGCCTTCAGCTCTTCTGATTTCAGAGTTTTAAGGTATCACGTACCAGAAAATCAGTCTGTTGTGACTGAGTTTTTGGTTCCTGTTAATTTCATTGTTATTTTTATGTTACAATTTTAGTCCTGTGTCTTTTGCTGTTTTTAGTGTCTGGTTATTCCAGTGTTGAGTGTTTTGGTTTAGATCTTGGTTTTTATTGGTTGTAGTAGTTTTAAATCCCTTAGTATTTCCCGTCTCTTGTCCACGCTCTCATGTCTTTCCATTAGCACTTACACACAGGGGTTTGTTATTTATGTCTGTGTTTAGTATTTTGTCTTTTGGTTACTTCCTGTTAGTTTTTGGCGCTACTTCCTGTTTTTAACCTCCTTTGTGGTGATCAGCCCCACAGTAAGAGGATAGTCTGACTGCTTTGAGCAGGCAAATAACACACAGCACATGACTTCACTGTACTCGAATGGCCTCCATGGATGTGGTGGAGCAGGAGATTCCCATCGTAGATGTCCAGCTGGAAAATCTGCTGAATCCGTGTGATGCTCTCGTGTCAAAATGGGCCAAAATCTGTGAGGAATGTTTCCAGCACCTTGTTGAATCTATGCCACGAATAATTACAGCAGTTTTGAATGCAAAAAGAGTTACAGAAAGGTTTACCTAACAAAGTGACCAGTGAGTGTATAGTCCTGTCTTACTCGTGTTACAGTGTCTGTTTTTGCTGTCCTGCTTGGCTCCTGCATGTTTTCTTTGTTATGTTCTTTTGATTTTCATATTTATTGTTCTTTTTTTATTCGCTCAGTACTTTTGATCAATGACTCAACCTCAAATGTCATATATGTGAGTCCTCAGTCTTATACTCTTTACAGATCCATTTTATTTTATTTTTGTTTCTATTTGTTAATTATCACATTTGCTTTGCATGTGATTCTATTTATAGGACGCAACAAATAAAACATGTTTAAAAGCTTATCCCAGCACAGAAATAAAGTTCCAGTGAAAACAATTTTGTTGTCAGATGGGGCAATTCAAGTTAAGCACTGCCAATAAACCATTTCCCACAACTGTTTTAAGATTATAAAGACACAGTATTTTTTTAGAGAAGTCTCTAAGCTCTCACAGTTACTTTGAAAATTAACATTTTATTGCTATCGTGACTAAAATCATTCTCATCGCCTTCGCTATTTGCTCTAAGTGTTTCAATCTTTCTGAAGCAGAGAACAATCAGTAAAAAAGTCATTTGGAGCAGGAGCAATAGACAAAATTCAAACACATCTATACACTATACAAAAAGAGCACTGTAGTAGAACAAAGTGAAATAACTAAACAGATGTGGTTTCTAATTTGAATGCACAGTTTTGTAGCTGTTTGACCCTAACGCGTTACTCCTTCTCTAGTGACTTCAGCTTGTGGCTGTTCCATGGCTGCACTCTGATTTCAGCCTGAGAGAAACAAGAAACGTCACATTGCCTTAAAAATGTAAAGGGAGGCAGTATAAAAATAAATCCAGCACAAAGCATGAACAAACTGGGAAAGACAATTTGCTTCATGTGTCTGAAAATGATGAAGAGATACGATATAGATGGTGGGTTCGACGGTAATGGCTAAAACGGTAGATGATGCTAAAATAAGATGCGGATACGGCTTAAGTAGAGATGGAGCAGGAGGGAGTCTACCAACAGGTCTCATCACACATGTATGCACACACACTCCTGTCTGCCTCACTGCACTCTCCACACCTCAATAATTTATTACCGCTAAAATAAAAATGCCATCATCTTACTTGCGCGGAGACGCAGACACAATCAGAGATTATTCTCAAAGTCTTTCTCGCTCGCATAAAATCGACACCGTTTCCATCACAACATGGAAATAATTAAAAAACAAACAAAAACAAGCTTTCAGGCGTGCCGCTGAGTTTGAGTGATGCAGATGGACAGAGAGGTTGTGTCATCAGTCAAGAGTGCAGAGAGGAGAGGAAAAAACAGTTCTACATCCTGTAGGTTTCTTTTCAGGTTAGTGAATTATTCAGCGTGTTACCATCTGCAGTGGCCTTTCAGAGGCCAAAACAATTTAGGATTCAGCTGTCTTTGGTTTTACTCAGGATGCTGTCCATATCAGTCATGTTATAAAATACAGGCCTGCGTGCATACACATCCACAGAGTCTCACATCCACGCATTTCATATTGTTCATAGCAAATCTACTGCCTGAGAGATTTTTGTGTTTGTTGCGCCTCGTGGGATTTCTTTTACTTGTTTTGCCCCAAACTTTTCCTCATCCCAGACAGTCCTTCTGTCTGTGAGAATAAAACAAATTCTCTTATTACAATGATTTTCTTTTAATCTGTCACAATCTCTCCCTCGTGTCTTCCTGTCCTGCTTTGCTCTTTTGTTCACAGGAACATGTGCAGATTTAGGATATAAGAGAGACAGCAGATGCAGTAAAAGTGCCTTTCTTTTGCGCTCAGCTCGCTCAGTGTCACCTCTAAGTGGAAGCATTGCTTAGGTGTGCACCACCTGGTGCCGCTTTCATTTTTTCTTTTTGCTTTGCAAAGCACTTCGATACATCTTTTCATCGGCATGCATCTCTCCTTCAAAGAGCAGCATCCAAACAATCCTGCCAACGCAATGACTAATAGTTTACTATGAAGTGTTGACTCAGTGATGCTGGGCCCTGCTGGCGAGATATACATCTGCAGTTATGAGAAACCAGTTTTAAACTCATGAGAAACTACAAGCACAAACTAGGAGCTGCACAATTCTGCCCACTCACGTATAATGCATCACGCATGAGCTACAGAGAAGCAGAATCAGGGTATGGTGACGCTGATGGTTTCGTGCAAAATGTTAAAGATCTTGCAAGCCTACAATGAGCAAAACATCTCATAGGGTAGCTGTAGCACACATTAGCACTGTGCATTTACTGCAAATGATCCTGAGAGCACAGAAGGCAGAGAAATGTGTGATGCAGCACTGAAAATATTAGATAAGTTGCAGTATAGGAAACAAACAAAGTGTGAAAATATAGAGTAAGGCAGAAAAGATGGTGTGCAGGAACAGAGACACAGAGTGAGAACGGTAGGGAAGCCAACACAATGGAGCAAATGCATCCCAGCAGAGTGGCTGACTGGATTTCGTCCTTTTAGAGTTGGAGCCATGAGAATGTTTGGTTGAAGTGACAGACTCATACGGTGAATCACCAGCAGACAGAGCACAGGTGACACTGAATAAGTTACAGAGAACAAGCAAGTCTGAAACCATGAACTTCACTTTTGTACTTTTTTAAATAATATGAATGCACTTAGCTAATCCTGCTTAATTTTTTAGCTGTTTTACTGAATACTCAAAAAAATTAAAGTGACTTTCTTTTTGAACTTACAACATGTTTAATATTGAGATTTTTATTAATACAGCAACTGATGAAATACACCAGGAGGTAGAGCAGGTCATCTACTAATTGCATGCTTGGTGTTTTGATCCCTGGTTTCCCCAGTCTGCATGTCAAGGTATCCTTGCATCCTTGTGCTCTCCAATGTCCCATCAGCGTATGAGTTTGTGTGATTGTCAGATAGAAAAAAGTGTTTGTATGAATGTGTGACTGAGGCATGTTGTATAAATCGCTTTGAGTGTTCAATCAGAGTAGAAAAGAATCAGCACATTTACCATATTCCCCCGTATGAATTCATATTATCTGCGCGTATACTTTTCTTCCAGTAAGAACACGCCCTATTCATGACAGGGGGGGGAAATTAAACCCTCAATTACTGAATTTAATTCCACTGCAGTAGTTGTAACACTGTTTTTCTATCTCTCTGTCTATCTGAACTGGAGAAGCAAACACAATGGGTACTGGGGTTTGCCTGGTAGAGCTGCACATTGATCCAATTTCAGCACCACTGACAGCTCAATAATAGATTCCTCCTGCCTGATTTAGGACCTCATAAGTTACTTTACTTGTCTGTAGGTGGGGAGATCATCTGATAGGTGTGATGTAAGTTAAAGTAAGCAAACTCTCAATTTAAATGTCTGCTATTGTTATCAAAGTATCTTTTTCACTTACTGGCAATGAAGGCATTTCATGTAGGTTAAATAGCAATAATTGTATCTGCACTTACAACCACGCAGTCAGCTGTTTCGCGAGTTCTCTTCAAAGCACGGTGCCAGATTTGTTATTTAAATTGAAGGCTATGAAGTCTTGAACCAAACTAAAATGAGTGAATGAATGCTCCTTACTCAGATTTCACACCCTTGCCCTTAAAATGCAAATGTAATTAAAACTCCGTGGGTTTTCTGCCTAAAGGACAAGCGTGTTAGTTAATTGAAGCGTGCTGAAAAATCACGTGCTAAAGGGTTTGACGCATGGAAATGCCGCTACTTATCCCCACTGGCCTGCTTTCCCGAGACCACCTCTGTCTGCAAGGTAAAAGTGTGGCTTAACCATGCAAGAAATTAAACCCCTTAAGAAAGCACTTATCAGACCTGTTATATTAACTGGCATGCATTTGTGTAAGAGAGGGTGTGCAATTTTGCAATGGCCAACCCAAGCCAGATTTTAAAGCCCAATAAAGTAAAGTCTCCCGTCCCGTTCCGAGAGGATTGGAAAGGATTACTCACTTGTCACGGTGAAAATCAGGAGAGCCAGGGCTGCTTTCACCGGGGCTGCCATCTCTTCCTCCCCTCCAGTGCGGCACACACACGAAAACTTGCAGATGAAGAGTATTTCCCGCGTTTTCCTCTTCTCTGCGCTCACTTTGCAGTAAGTAAAGTGTGAAACCGAGAAAAAAAAAAGAAAAACAATGAACAGGGTGGATTACAACGGTTTCATTGCGAGCGGTGAGTGAGGGTTGGGGGACATTGAAAAGAATACCGATTGCTGTTAGAACCGAGAGATAAAGAGGCTGGATGCTTTCTGCCAGAGCGCACCGACTGTACCGCTGGTCCTAGAGCTGTGATTGCGCGCAGTGGAAACCGGCTGTAGAGATCAGAGCCCCCCTTACAAACAGCGCTTTCTTTGGGAAAGTGAGTTGAGGAGCTAGCGGGAATACGTCAATCCCGTTATCGCCAAAGCAGCCATTCTTAAGATAAAAGATTTAAGTACCCCGGTGACCGCATCGCCCTGCCCGCCCCAGTGCGCTCACTGACCGGGCGTCAGTTTCGCTCTGCACCTCCTTGATCGACTCAGTTTAACATGTGTGACAACAAACAGGAAGCGATAACGGTTAGAAACCCCCCAGGGAAGATATTAAACACCCCGAACCAACCTTATCTCCTCCAGTTTATGGAGAATTCAAAGTGGAATTTTACTTTGTAAAGTTGTTGTAGAAAAAGTAGAGAAAAAATAAAGTCAATCTTTTAATTAATTAAATAATGATTAAATGTAGTTAATAACGCCGAAGCAGGTTCTTGGCAGTAAAACAGAAGTCTTGTTGCCCCTGTTAGCATGTATATATAAAATCCTGGAAGGCTGCCACTTGCAGTAATACAAAATGAGCATATAGGATATTCAGCTGTCTTTCTCCCACTGGGCGGTCAAAGGTCAGGGTCCACTAAAAGATAACTCAATAAAGGTTATCATGGAGAGATTCAGAAACCACACAGCTTTTGTCCAAATCCACATTTACTCTGAACACCAGTTTCACCAGTCAAATACAAAACAACTGGAACAACTTTCTCAAGTCCGACTCAGAGTTTCTGAGGGAGGCTGGAGCTTATCCCAGCTCTCAAAAGGTAAGATTGGGATTATAGATTATACCGGTCAACAAGGTCAACAAAGGGACAAACATAACACTGTCACATCCACACCTACAACCAGGTTTTAGAATCACCAATTAACCTAACATGCATTTCTTTGGATTGTGGAAGGAAGCTGGAGTCCCCAGAGAAATTGCACGGGGATCAATAAAATCATTCATCACTGTCAGTCATCATCAAACCAGCTGTATGATTTCACCAAAACACAAAGATACAGAAATTTAAAAAAGGGAAAATCCCACTGACTTTATCAAATCTGTTTCCTCACAAAAATCTGAGTGGAGGAATTCAGATATATTTGATCTGTGGCTTAATAAGTCAACTATAGTTATCCTACAGTGGAACTGGCCTCAGCTGGTGGGTCTATGGGTCTGGTTTGTGTGTGTAATGAGAATGGAAAAGCTGCAGGCTTCTTGAGTCTGCACACATCAGTGAAGTATAACTACCCAGAACTCCCTTTGGTGATGTGAGAGGAGGAGAGGGCAGAAGGAAGACGTGGTCTTAAATTTGCTAGACAAAACGACTCCAACTAATTACATGGACAGAGAGGAGGAGGAGGAGGAATAAGACAGGAAACAAAGAGGGGAAAATGAAAAAAGCTGATTGAAGATCATATATTCAATGTGAATTAAAGATAAGATTTTTTTTCCCAAGAATTAGTGGAGGAGATGGATCACAGTTTCATGCCTTAAGCAAGACCTGGGGATTCTCCAACATCAGCAAAATTTTCAAAATAGTATATTTAAAGATCACTAATGTAAATCACACAGTAATGGTTTAAAATATAGTATGAATTTTTAAAAAAAACTCAAGATGTGCTATCAGCTCCTGACACGTTATGCGATCATTTGAGCATCAGACAAAGAATTTTCACACTTACTTCATACATGAATTAATTTAAAATTATTTTAGCTTCAATAGAGAGTGCACTGGCTTCTTTATTAGGTACAGTTGAACTGCAACTTTTAGTTTAGGCATGTTGTTGTTGCCAGAGGAGCTGGTCTGAGCATTACAGAAACTGATTATCTACTTGGATTTTTTTACCCACACAATCATATCTAGAGTTTACAGATAATGGTAATTGGTAGTTATCTGGATGAATGGCACAGAATAATGGCCAGACTGCTTTGAGCTGATAGGAAGGCAACAGTAACATAAAGAGTCAACCAAGGTATGCAGAAGAGCATCTCTTAATGCACAACATTTTGAACTTTGCAGCAGATGGGCTTCAGCAGCTGAAGACCACACACCGGTCAACCACTCCTGCCAGCTAGAAGAGGAAAAATGGACAATAGATGATTGGAGAAACATTCACCTGATGAGTATCAATTTGTGCTGCAACATTCAGATGTTAGGGTCAGAATTTGGTATAAACAAGATGAAAGCATGGATCTGTCCTGCCTTATATCAGCAGTGCAGGCTGCTGCTGGTGGTTGTATAATGATGTGGCACCAGCTGAACATTTTTAAACAACACAGCCTACCCAAGTATTGTGCTGACCGTGTCCATGACCACAGTGTATCCATCTTCTGATGGCTGCTTCCAGCAGAATAACCCACCTTGTCACAAAGCTCAGATCATCTCAAACAGGGTTCTTAAATTCACTGTACGCAAATGGTCCACAGTCAAAATGAGGATGCAGACAATCATAAATACGTACTCGTGTTTACTGTGGAAATCTATGCATCTGGTGAGAAGTTTGATAGAAGGAATAAACTCATATTTTTGGAAAAAAAAAAATGTATCAAACTTAAAAAAAAAAAAAAAAGCTTAGCAAATAAATAATCTTACAATAAAGTTTTTAGTACCTAATCCTGCTAATTTCATTATACATCCATTTATATATGAAGAAACTGTGAGTTAATGTTCTTTAAGTGATCAGCTAAGTGAACTAATCACATAAAGTGATTTGGTCGTGGCACTTTTTAACGGTGTGCCTCGGAAATCCATGACACAGCTTGCATTAAATCAAACATTTGCTAAGCGTTACTTCTTTTTTTTTTTCTTAATTTGAACAGTAACAGTAAGTGTAATAACTGATACATTGATACTGATACTGAGGCGATCGTGGTTCAAGAGTTGGGTGTTTGTCTTGTAATCGGAAGGTTGCCGGTTCGAGCCCCGGCTTGGACATTCTCGGTCGTTGTGTCCTTGGGCAAGACACTTCACCTACTGCCTACTGGTGATGGCCACAGGGGCCGATGGTGCAATATGGCAGCCTCGCTTCTGTCAGTCTGCCCCAGGGCAGCTGTGGCTGCAGCTGTGGCTACAACTGTAGCTTGCCTTCACCAGTGTATGAATGTGAGAGTGAATGAATAGTAGAATTGTAAAGCGCTTTCAGGGGTCCCGAAAAGCGCTATATAAAAGCAATCCATTATTGTTATTGTTATTATTACATTGTGGCTTCATAGTCTGTGTCTCTATAAGGTTTCCTGGCAACAGCAGAGACTGAAAGACACACCAAAGCAGCTTTGATCAGTCAAAGTATGGATACAGGACCTCCTGCAGTGTGCTGTGGTGTCTGGCAGTGCATCGTCTCGAGCCTCTGTGGACTTGTTGTGGCACACGTCCCCCAGTGTTTAGAATTTAGAATTTTGGTGGAATTTTTAGTGCTCTAGTAACATCCATACAACATAATAGTCACAGCTTCATATTCAACCAAATAGCATTAACCTCCCATCAGACCCCATTATTGCCACACATGAGCAACACACAAGCATCCGCCTCCCAAAATCCCCACCCGTCGCTGCTAATGAACATTATCTCTGCATCCTAAAAGCAATGGAGAGGAGCAGAGGGAGGCCAGATTTAATCAGGGTTACTTAGAGCTCACTGCTGGGATTGCTGTGGCTCTGAAGAGCCTACCAGAAAACACTCATGTACATTTAAAGGATAAAAATCTTTGTTCGCCTTAGTCTTGCTTTGTGCATAGTGTAACTGATATATGGGAGATGAACATTATTACATGCATCCGCATACAAACACACAAATAGACGGGACTGTGGTAAAAGCTTTTATATCTCACAAATAACACCTGGAAAAACCTTCTTAGATTTCTCTTAAAAGCCTACTGTTGTGATTTTGGAGGAATTAAATGCAAACTATGCATATCTCTAGTATTTAAGTCATATTCTTACCAGATAATTTCACAGATTTTAAAAATTCTTTAGTCTTTTTGGCTTCCCCTAACATCACATTGATTTCCTCATAATGATTTTTTTTATTCACCTTTTTAGAAGTCAATGGTCAGTTGATAAAAACAGGATGAACAACAATAAACCCTACATCCAAAATACACTGCAAAAAAGTGTATTTATTTAGCCTGATTTCATCTGAATTTTGCCTGCCAGGAAGGTGATGCTAATAATAAGTTGTCCAATAGCCTCTTGAAAGTTAAAACATACATATGTTTCACATTATAATTTCATGTAAAAACAAACAAAAAATGACATCATTGGAAAATTGAAAAGAAAAGTCCTAAATCTTATATTTACACAGTTATTCTGTCCCTAATCCAAACCTTTTAAAGCACACATCCAAACTGTCAAGACTTCAGAGTTCATAAGGATGTCTGTAGTTCTGCAGAAGGTGTTTTTGTTTCAGAGGACAGAAAACTGCTAAAGTGCACAGCAACATAATTAGTTCCATGAATAAGAAAAATTCAACAATCAGGAGACACCTTCATGAATGGAAATACAGAGGGTTTACAACAAGGTGCAAACCACTGGTTACACTCAAGAACACACAGTTCTGAGACAATAATAAAACAATTCTTTGGACACTGAAACTAAGATCATCTAAGATGTACCAGAAAGACAGGAAGAAGAACAAGAAGCACAGAGAAGGAGATAAACAGTATGATCCGAAGCTTCCCACACTACAGCCACAAAAACATAACATGTTTCTTTTCCAAACAAGTCATGCATTTAACTTTAAAACCCTTGTGTTTGCAGTAAACTCACATTAAGTGCATCTATTCCCCAAAAGCTGCATCATTGTGCACTTTATAATTGAGCCTACTGACCAGCATCCCCATTATTTTACAGTTTGTTTCTTGCCTCCAGGCAGCAGAGTCACTAGCAGTGTTCCCAGGTTAAGAGGCATATTCCCCTGCTGCATTAAAGTTCTCATAAATTCAGATCACAAGGGGATATTTTTGTCTCAGCCTGACAGCATGAGATGAGACCACTCTTAAAGCCTGTCATGCTTGGTCATCACATTGTTCCAGTGGGACAGAATCAGTATGATAGGACAAAGTGGCTGTGTAGTGAGAGAAGGAAGTCATTGCCTATATCTTGTGTTTCTTACCCTCATCAGTAGCCCCAATCTATGTCTTTTTCTAACTGTATATGCTAGTGAACCAATCATGTGCCTGCTTACCTTTTTACC